ACCTGAATTAAATTTAGATTTATCTTGGACTCTTGAATATCAAATTATCAACTAATTCAGATTTTATTTGGCTTTGTACAAGAGCAAAACCGAAACCGACCCAAACCGACCCAACCCGACTCAAACCGACCAAGTCGGTTTGGTCTGTCAGTGGGTCGGTTTCGGTTCCCACCTTAGTTAACCCGACCAGGTCGGGTCGGTTGGGAAAATCCCAAGAAACCGACCCAACCCGACCCGTGAACACCCCTAATAGTTTTGCTCTCTCTATGGGTAGGGACCCATAGGAGGAAAACATTATAGATATCCCATGCATGTGAGGGGGGTTGGGGGTGCTTTTCACACACGTGCGTGCCGAGCTGACCCGATTCGGGGCGTGGGTGAGGGCGCGGGTGCGTGTACGTGTACGTGCGCGCAATGCACTGAATCGGTTTTGCTTTTAACCGGATTAAACTTTTGAATTTCAAATTTAACTTTTTAAACGTTTTTCTTTTTCTTTTTCGTGTCTCTTCCTTTCCATATCTCTTTGAACTGGTGCACTGTTTTGAAGAGGTCCCTGTCTAAAAGGACACAGGTCCTTTTAGGTCTAAGAACACTTTATAAAAGGAGTGTTGGTCGACCCAGTCTACATAACAACAATACGCCAACATTTTTCGACAATCTTCTCTTCTCTTTTTCTCTGATAATCTAAACATCAATTCTTTGTAGTTTGCAGAGGTCTGGTAAGCAAGTGCACGTCTACCAGTGGCCTGTGGGTTATTTTATCTTGGCAACCGATTTGCAATCACCCGGTTGCACCGTAGGGGGCAAATGTAATTTTAAGGAGAGTGACCAAGTGGCACGACTCAACCCACCTTCTCTCATTTTGTTGTTCTGCAACACCACACTCCTGCAAGTTCTCGATTTAGAAAGCAATTACCGATAAGTTCCATTTGCCTTCTTTACTAATTTTTCTAACATTTCTTCTTTGTGCTTCATGTACTCCGATACCATCCAAATCCCCAATGACGATGCCTGCTATTGTTCCTGGCCTGAGACCGCTCAACCTTTGTGATTGAGTTCCATTCAGTTCATTGCCTTCATAGTCCTCTATGGGATGACCCATTTGCTGAACGGGTGGATTTATGCTCCACATACATTGCAGCTGATGCTGGTGCTCACCATATTCAAATTTCTTACTGCCTTGGTCTCTTGTGCAATTGCTATCAGTCTGATCACTCTCATTCCTTTGCTTCTTAAAGTAAAGGTGAGAGAGCTCTTCTTGAAGAAGAAGAAGAAGGCCTGGGAGCTTAACAGACAAGTAGGGAAGATGAAGAAATTGAAGGAAGCCGATTTGCATGTTCGAGAGCTAACCCAAGAGATTTCAGAAACCAATGGATAGGCATACCATCTTGTACACCACTCTGCTCAAGTTGTCCAATACCTTGGACTTGCAGAACTGTGTTGTTTGGATGCCCAACGAGATTAAAATAGAGATGAACTTGACCCATTGGAATATCTCCTGTGAGATGACATTCCCCAAGATTTGCTTCCCAAATTCCGATGGGATCCTTCCGACGAGCCTATTGTACGAGAGGTTCAAGTAACGGTCGCTAACTCCACCAAAATCTGGCGGCAACGACCTGTTAATCAGATTTGAAGACATGGGGGTATTTACTGGTTTTCAAGGCATGGTGGTGATATTCAGTCAAGCAGAAAGTGAATCTGAAGCAAAAAAGGCAAGATGAACTTTCCAATTTTATATGACGGAGATGTCAGATTGCTAGCCGCCAACCATGAAAAGGAAAATATTTAGGTTAGTGAAATGGTGGAAGTCCGGATCTGATGCACACACAGAGAGTAGGGTTTCCAACTCCAATCAATTAACAAATTTGCTTGGGGTACGGATGTTGGGACTTGGGAAGTTCCCAATCCCATTATCCCCAGTTTGATGCAGCTAATTACCATTTACAGGTTTCTTCGCCACAGTCCATGCCATTGAATGGAGATAGAACGTTGGGAAGGTCTCTTTACTTCTTTCCACTGCCGTGGGGCGGGTCGTGAGGATGAAGACAGAACAATGAGATGGGAACGGGATCTACTCCTCACACATGGGCGCCTCATAGGCACATCCACTGTGCAGTAGAAACATCTCCCTTGAATAATAATTTATAAGTAGGGAAGATATTCCCAATGCATGGTAGGATGTGCGTGTGAGATTGGTGTGAGATGCACCGTGTAAGGAGCAGATTCGATCTCGATGAGATGCCCCAAAACCACCAAACATGTCCCCATGGACTCCTTTCTCTACCCCGGAAGCCATCTCCGACCCTTGTTTTGGTGATTGTTCCATGGTGTATCCAGGTGGAGATTCTGTCTCACCAGTCGGTGGGATGTCTTTTGATGCATGGGTGGAATTCAACGTTGGAGAGTTTTAATAAAGAATAGCAAAAGATGAAAAATAGAAAGAAGTGTATTTGTCGCAATATAAAAGTTTAGGGGGATCTTTGTCGCAAAAAGGGTATTTGTCGCAATATAAAAGTTTAGGGGGATCTTTGTCGCAAAAAGAAGTATAGGGGTCTTTATCACAGACCCCATAGTATGTGGGGGTTGGTGTAATTTACCTTTTTTTAATTAGATATACACAATATGTCGATCACTCGCTCGCTCTATGTCAAAATGCATTGCTTAGTCTTTGTTTGGATCCGGTGTAAAACATCATCAGTGTAAAATCACTAATGACGTTGTACAATGAAGCATATAATAAGTGACCGTTACATTTTGAAAACCATGATAAAAAAGTATAAAGTTTTACATATATAAAATCAATGTATTATCGATGTAAAACTTTATGCTTAATGAGGTTTTACATTGATTCACAATGTAAAACTCTACTTCATCCAAACGCCAACAAATCTAAACTGGAATGGAATTTTACACCGATCTACATTTACACTCCTTCCAAACGCCAATAAAACTGAACCAGTGTAAACTTTTACATCTATTTTGATTTACACCGATTCCAAACACAACCTTATTTGCTTGGTCACCTCGTTTTAGCAATGTTTCTGACCAAGAATAAGGGTCCATTTAGCATTGAATCGCTTCTTTAAGATGTGTTTTGGTAAACGTAGGGAAAGGACTGGTTTCCCTACCTTTTTTCTTTCAAACCCCAAGCTTTTGAGCCACCGGTGACTCAGATAGTTGGACCATTTGGCCCAATAACCATCCAGGCAACCAGTTCCATTTCACCCTTAACCCAATTCTTGGCCAAAAACCGTTGATTTGATCAACGATCCGTTGGCCCAGGCGGTTGAACCATCAATCCGTTCAATGGTTTTTGGCCATTTTATTTTATTTTTTTATTTTTTAAGTTGGAATGGGCCAGACTAGACAGTCAACCATCAACAGGAAACCAGTGGCCAGAACAGTTCCTGTTCCCGGGTCAGTCTTTAAAACCTTGTTCAAACCAAACACAGCCTTAGGGAAGAAAAAAAATAAAACACGTTAATTGAGTCACCAACCCGGTGACCCGGCCAGTCAAACCATAGAGGCCAAATCAGGAAACATCCCCATGTTTGTTATATGGAATGATCAACTCTAATGGCCATATCAATAACAGATGCAAGTCCTCTAGACCTGGGATTAAGTGCTGCCTTTACAGTGCTTCAGTGCCTAGCAAAAGAATAAGAAATCACCACTCCAAACCATATGTAGGAGTTGCAGTCTCCATCTGCCCCAAAACGCTGGTTAGTAATTAATGGATCAACTACTTCAACTGGGATGTCTTCCTTGAAGATGTAAAGCTAGAAATCACTGAAAATTTCAAAGGATTAAAGAACTGACTATACCTTTATTTTCCCATAAATCCAGGTTTTTTAGCATTTGAAGTTAATTTGGAAATATCGATCGACATTGATATAGCAAGGAAACAAAAGCACAAGCCTTGCACTAAACATACTGGATATAGAAGACCCAGCACCCCTGCTGGCCTCCTGCATTACATGTTAGCTGGGCACAAAATGCATCATTATGGCTTCGAAATATCAAAGTATTTCTACAGAAGCAACATAAAAATCCACAACGCATCACTGGAGTAAATATATCCCGCACCACAGCTCAGAAGCCTGTTAAGAACCAAACGATGAATTAATTTCTTTAGCATTATACTTATAAAAAAGAATTCTTTGACACTATTAATACAAGAAAGGGTCAAAGTATAGATACAGGCGCATCGTATCGTATCGGCAGGGTACCCATATGCCTTTTTTAAGGTCAATCCCCAAATTTTTATTTGTATACGTTAATATATGCTTAAACCTACACCTCAGCCCTATTTAAAAATAAATAAAAGCATATGGTACAAAACTTGTGAACTGATTTTTCTATTACCCGTTAATATCAGATAGAATAGTGGATAATACTGCAAAAGTAAAGGAATCTAGGAATACATGTAGAATAAATAAATCAATAGTTTCATGTATATAAATAAATGATGTATAAGCTCAGAAATAAACAATAATGCATGGAAACCAGCCAACTTGGAACAAAGAGTAACCATTCCTAATTAGATATGACACATGATAGGAAGATTTTAAATGTATAAATGCCCACAAAACATTAAGATATCTCTTTTAACAGAGGTCTTGTGCACCTGTATTTCGAGGTTTTAAGGTCAAACCTTCAAGTATTAATGCCATGATAAAGGCAAAAGCAATTATGGCCACTGCATCAAACATAATCCTGACAAGTACGAAGTACCAAGTGAAAAGAGTTGATCCTGATATTGTTTAGGAAAAAAATGTGCCAAGACTGGAGCCTTTGGTTATGATGATCACTAGAAATAGCGCAAAGGCACTTCATTCTTTTATTCTAATCCTACTTTACATTCAACATATGGAGTTATGATGATGACAAATAGTACACTGGTGCCTCATTTATTCTTTCATTCTAATCCTAATTCACATTCGACATGGCACATTGAGCAAACCAAGTTCGTGGGATAACACAAAACAACAAGGTTGCTATGTCCCCGCAAATATATAGTTGCCAGGCTAAGAAATCAGGGCTGGTAATGAGATGAGAAAAAGAAGTAACAAGAAAGGAACATCTAAAATGAAAACACAAGACCTTAAAAACAGAAAAGTGGGGGAGAGGAGGAAAAGAAAATAGGAGGCCCCAACATTCTTAAGTACAGATGCACTTTTAGATTCTTTCAAGTATAGACTTTTCTGAAGATACCAAACAAGAACCTGCAAGGTTGCAATATGCATGAAAAACAATAGTCATGGAGATCAACCATAATAACCCTTTCCTTTTCCCAAAACTCACATGTCTAGTGGGGTTCAAGTGAAGATATGCAATTCCACAATTTCAAGAACAATACCCTTGTGCCCACCTTGTAAGATGATGCAAAAGAAGCACAGATGCCACAACAAAGCATGAAGCTAAGATATTACATCAACCAAGAATACCCTTGTGCCCACCTTGTAAGATGATGCAAAAGAAGTACAGGTGCCACAACTAAGCATGAAGCTAAGATCTTACATCAACCAAGAAAAAAAAAGTATAAAACAGTGACAAATCAATACCATAATAAAACAAAAGCAACTACCAACATAGAAAGAGAACGATCAGAAATCAGAATACAATTCACTTCTTCATGGAACTTTGTTTGCCAAACTCATAAAATCAACCACAGGGGGTGGGGGAGTGCCAGTATGACTAATTGAATCCCCTATGGTAGGGCAAGCATTAAAACAACTGTACAGAGCACTCTTATTGGCACAAGTGAAGAGAGTAACTGACCTGGGAACCATTGAGTCAACTCAGGAAGCCAAGTTGTAATTTTAGAGCTTTATAGAATATCCTTAATTCTTTTTCATCTATATATAATACATAATACACACTCACTCCTAGTCAGATTGGATCTTTACCAGTTCAGGACAGGGTAGACACAATTGCAATCCGATAATCATCAGGTCCAAAACCCAACCTAGAAGGCTAGAACCTAGAAGCAACCCATAAGAACAAGGGGTTGTCTCAGAAATAGTATAATAGGGTTGGATCAATTCAGGTCTATTGCAAAGACCTGGAATACTATGACAACAGTAGTGTCTGCTGCTCTAAAGCAAAACCTAAGTGGATTTGATTTTGTATTGTCATCTAAATATTACTGTTACCAATCACAATAAGAAAGCCAAAACTCCACTCCTTGTCACCTTGTTCATGTAAATTTAGGCCCCCTAATCTGGAGAATGACTTTAGTGATAAATCAATACAATTGGTGGGTTTCCCTTTCTTAGGACTGTACTGTCCAAAATTGCAAGTAGAATTGACAAAAAATGTTCATTGTTTGTTGTTTGACATTTCCTAAAAGTTCTATTTATGTAGTTAGAATCTACAGGATATCAACTTTCTGGTTAGGCTTTACAAAGCAAGAGGACTCTAATACACTAAAACAAAGAAAGAGGAAGAAAAACTATCCGCATAAAACAAAGTTGACTTTATTCAAGACTTTCAAGTACTCTAATATCCCATGGTTAGGCTGAACTAGAATCCGTTAAAAAAAAAAGCATTGAAATTCACAGCCCTAATGTCCGAGTGAGAATTTGATTAAGCATATTGAAAGGGGAGAGAGACAGAGAGAGATTTAGTTAAAGGAAGAAACTATTAGACAGAAAGAGGAAAAAGAAATTTTCATTATAATCTCTGCAAAGAAGTTTGAATGTCACATTTATAACCCTCATTTTGGCTAAAGTCCTAGCAGAAAGAATGAAAGGGGTGTTAGGCAGTATAACCTCAAATAATCAGAGTGCTTTTGTGCCTGGAAAGCAGATGGTAGACTCAATTTTAATTGCCAATGAGTTGATTGATTCTAGAAAAAGAGAGGGAACCCCGGGTGTAATTTGTAAACTTGATATTGAGAAAGCATATGACTTCATCAACTGGAACTGTCTGGATCGTGTGCTGGATTGCATGAATTTTGGACAGAAATGGAGAAACTGGATCAGAGTATGTACTAAGACCCCAAAATTTTCAATCCTAATTAATGGGCAATCCACAGGGTTTTTGGTAGCTCTAGGGGTTTGAGGCAGGGAGATCCTCTGTCTCCTTTGTTGTTCATTTGTGTTATGGAAATCCTCACACTTTTTAGCAAGAAGGCTGCAGGTTCTGGATTATGGAATGGGTTTGCTATCTCCCCTGGAAAGGAGAAAGTCAATATAGAAGCCATGACTTGGCAAATGGGAGACGAAGAAAGAATCTTGTGACCAAGCCAGAGATAGGAGAGGAGGTGATTACCAACCAGGATGGCATAACCAGAAAATTTGTGGACCACTTCAAATCGATTTATAGAAGACCTTTGAGTAAGAGAGTAGTCGTGGATGGGGTGGAATGGCCAAGAATTGAGGATGGATTGGCAAGGTGGTTGGAAAGGGATTTCAAAGAATAAGAGATTAAGAAAGCTGCCTTTCTAATGGATAGATCCAAGGCTCCAAGTCCAGATGGCTTTACAATGGGTTTCTACCAAGTTTGTTGGGAGGTGTTGAAAGAGGATTTAGTTGAAGGCTCCAGGTCCAAGGCTCCAAGTTTGTTGGGCCCTGGAATTAAGGGCCAATCCTAGGGAGAGTAGATTTTGGACCCYAGTGATAGAAAAGTTTGAAAAAAGATTACCTTCGTGGAAGAGGATTTATATCTCTTTGGGAGGGAGAATTACCTTAATAAGAGCTACTTTGGCTAACTTACCTACCCATTTTTTGTCTATCTTTAGGATACCAGTTAGGGAAGCTAGGAAGCTGGAGAAGTTGATGAGAGATTTCCTGTGGGAGTCGGGACAAGAAAAAAAAAAGGATCATTTAGTTAATTGGGAAATTTTGTGCAGAAGTAAAGAAGAGGGGGGTTTGGGACTTGGGAGGGTGACTAAAAAAAATCAAGCTCTTTTAGGGAAATGGTTGTGGTGATGGCCATTGGAAAGTGAGAGGTTGTGGCATGAGGTGGTGGGAAGCATTCATGGGAGATTAGAGAATGGATGGGATGCTGGTGTATCAAGGCAGGCTAACCTAGCAGCACCTTGGAAGGCCATTCACAACACCCTTCCTCAATTCCTCAAATTTATCAGGTATGAAGTTTGTTCTGGCAACGTTGTTCGCTTTTGGGATGATACCTAGGTAGGAGACACCCCTTTAAAGGACATGTTCCCTTTGCTATTTTCTATTTCTTTGTATAAAAAAGAGGTGGTCTTAAAATTTGTCTCATCACTGGGAATACCCTTAGCTCCCAATTGTAGCTCCTAATTGAGATTTTGGGTTTTGTAGAGGACTAAGGGATGTTGAAATTGAATCTCTCTTTGTCTTGCTATGTTGTCTTAATCAGTTGTGTTTGGATCCCTCCAAGTCAGATAAAAGGGTGTGGACTCCTAGACCCAATGGAACCTTTACTTGTGCTTCTTTCTTCAAGTCCATCTCTCAACTTTGTACTCAACAACCCTTTCCGTCAAACGAAAATTTGGTGCAGGCCAGTTCCCCCAAAGATTATGGCGTTTTGTTGAGAAAAAATCCATGGGAAAGTAAACACTCTAGATAACCTACAAAAGAGAAGACCATTCCTTTGTATTTCTCCAATTGGTGTATCCTCTGTAGAGCTCATGGTGAGGATTGTTACCACCTATTAATATCTTGTCCCTTTTTTGCAGACCTTTGGGCTTGGCTACTTTCATTGTTTAGGAGTAGTTGGAGTCTACTAGCAGAAGTTTGCATGCTCTTCAACCATTCTACTTTCTTTTGGCCTACAAAAAGAGGGAGACTTTTGTGGAGATGTGCTCCCACTGCCCTGATTTGGACTCTTTGGGAAGAAAGGAATGCTAGAATTTTTCAAAAAAGGGAAAGGAACAGTCAGGAATTGAAAGACTATGTGCTGAATAGGGCAATACCTTGGATGAAGACCTTGGAAATCTTTCATAAATTCCCTTTTAATGATCTTTGGAGAAATTGGTCAGCAGTAGCTAGGTGTTCATCCCTAAAGGACAAAGCAATTACAAGCTGGTTTCCTCCATGTGAAGGCTCACTGAAGTTGAACTTTGATGGAAGTAGCATTGGTAATCCAGGATTATCCGGAATGGGGGGTGCTT